AATCCCATAGATACTTACTTTTTATACTTCAATTTAAATAGTTCCTTTAGTTATTAGAAAAGGGGATTCTGGAAGTTCCATTCTAAATGGTTTCTACTAAAATGAGTTTAACCTGAACTGAGAAAAATGTATTTATTTAACAGTGTTAATAACACTTTTATTAAAATTTTCATTTATGTTTTACAATTTTTACAAATTAGTGAGGAATTAGAGAAGAAACTCAAATCACTTAAATTGGAATGTAAAATACTAATTAATAAAATGCTAACTAAGTGAGTAAAGTTAGTAAATCTAATTCAAGTAATTTAGCAATTTATTAAGTAATTTATCGTATTTTTTTAAGAAAGTTTGTATATTTATTTATTCACGAATCAAAAAATAGACTGTTTGCCTATTTAAGTAGTAGAAAATTAGGTTATGATTAAGTATTTAAGATACTTTAGTATTCTTAATTCAAAGGACAATAATAATTAAATTAAAACCCAAAGAAAATGTTCTTTTTTTGTCCCTATTTTCCACCATCTCCGAGTTTTCTCCTATATCTATGAAAGTAATATCTCTTAATCTCCATAAAAACCTTCAAAAAGCCATTTGTCCTTGCCTGGCCTTTGACCTGTTGATTAACCTTTAATTCCCGCCATAAAAGCTTTTAAAAACTTTTCACTTTCAAACACATTTTCAATTATCGGCCACCCAAAACTGCGCCCCAACCACAAAGTTTCAATTAAGTTGGCAAGAAAAGCAAATAAAATACATACGTACATAATAAAGTGGCTAAAAAAAAAATAAATAAATAAAAATGAAAAAAAAAACCCAACCATTGAAAGAGAGAACATTAGCCGCTGTTTGTAGATTGTAGAGGTCAAGGCTATAATCGTGAGGGCCTCTCTTTCTCTATCTCTATCTCTCTCAACCGACAGCAAAAGTGCAAATAAATTTGTGACGCATTTTTATTTTGTTATTGCATTTGCAAATTTGCAAATGATAAAAATAAATACAAATACACCCAGTGGCAAAACACACACACATAGATACACACAGCACTAATACAATACGAGAGAAGGTGGTGTAAAGGAGGGAGGAGGTGGAGAGAGAGAGACCCACGTAAGAGCACAACGAACTTTGGCGAAATGTGAAATTATAAAACAAAGCGTGCGACTAAAAACAAGCACCCAGCAGGCTCAACAAATGCCAAATTAAAATGCTAAATAAGCCGCATGTTTGCTATTATTGTTGGTATTTGCAAGATACATATATGTATCTTTTATTCGTTTTGTGTTTTAAGCCAAGGCCAAGCTGAGGGAATTTCTTTTTATTTTCAATCCCCTGCCAGCTGTAAAAATTCAACTTTTTCAAAACAAAAACAAAAGGTGGAATGGAAAATGGAAGATGGAAAGTAAACATCATCGGTGGGGAAAAAGATAAGGAAAACGCAAATAAACAAATGTTTGGCTAAACACGAAGGGGAAAGCTAAAGTCTGAAGGCTGATTAGGATGCATTATTATTGTTATTATTGGGAGGCCTTTTCGCCTCAAATTCACATTCAAAGTTCATTCACTTTCAGTCGAGGAAATCGACAACAAACTTGTACTTGGCGGCAATTAATTTCAGAACAATGACACCTTTTTGTGAATCTGAATCATTGATTTCGTGGGAAAAAAGGGGGAAGTCATTAAAATGTTTAAAATGTTTCAGTTTAGGTTTATTTCACAATATTTCACAAGGTAAACACAAATTTTAAACATTAATTCTAAAGAAATCTAGAGAAATATTGTGAAGTGATTTAGTTTCATCATAATTTAGGGATATTTAATATGTATTATGTACTATTTTTAAGGAGAATCATCAACAAATAAGGCAATGACTGCATTTATGGAGAACCGTTTGGAAAATGTGAATTGTAGAGACAGTATGATGGGTTAATCATATCGAGTGTGAATCATCAAATTCAAATTCAAATATCAATATTATATTGTACTAGAATGTACAACTTTTTTTGAAGTAAACCGAGGTGTTTTTTATGAAACATTAATATTTGGAAACATTTTTTAGAGTAGAGAAGAGTAGAAACTTTTCAAATAAAATTACAATGATATTTTTAAAATAAAATAAAGCGAAAACACTGCGGAATTTGAACAAAATTCTCCTGCTGCAACTCTCCTGCTTCTTTCTGTAATTTATCTTCAGAACATGTGTTTGAAATTTAGAAACAAAACAGACCCTTGACCTTCATAGATCAAAAATCAATATTATATCTTATATCTTAATTTATCTTTATATCTTTATCTTTATAGAAGCGATATTAGAGCGATATAGAATAAATTGTTATAGGGGTTTTATTCTCGATTATTTTACGAAATTTTAGTTTTACGAAATCGTATCTTTTTAATACACTTTAAAGTAGAAAACACTAGAAAGTTTATTTTGTATGACCAAATTCAAGATATTGCTGAAATTTTAATAAAAACCTCTTTAGCTTAGGCGTGCAGTTTAGCTTTAGAAATTGTGTTTCAAATTTCGAAAATTAAGCTGAACTTTGTAGCCATTCTTTTCCCTCTTAAATCCCTGAAATTATAACCCAATACTATTTACCTGAATTCTCACCTTAATTTACTATTGAATTATTATCAAAACTATTTACTTGATTAAATAATAACAATTGTCTTTAAAGAAATTGAATTCAACAGAAACCCCAAGCTACATACCAATCTTAATATCACTTTTACCTTTCGAAATATTTAATTTTCCAAGTCATTAATAAAACATAAAACAGATTTAAACGATCGTCGAGGTGCAAACATTCCGAGACCGAAGACTAGCATGAACCATTTGAGACAATCTGCCATTTATTTATTTATAGCCGTAGTTTTATGCTGCTTTAAACAAATTAACAGGTCTGTTCGGCCAAACTTGAATACACACATAGATACAGATACAGATACAGATATAGATACGGGCCATCAAACAAGCAGTTGTGTATTTAATACAAAAGAAAACAAATATAAAAAAAATGAGAAAATGACAATTAACAATGTCGAACACGCCCACAACACACACAGAAATAGAAAAAGAAACGAAATGCGTTGAATAACATTTGACGAGTTGGCTCCGACAGCGATTTGTGCGCAAATCTAAATGACTTTTTGGCGTCTGTTTCTCTATTTGTTTGCTTTTATTTATAATTTTTAGTATTTGTTTTTGTTTATATTAGATATGATGGCCCATCCTCTAATGCTTTTATTTCTTTCATAATTCTGTTAGAAATGCCCCAGATCTGATTATGATTTCTCTATTTATTTTCTACTTAATCTAGATTCTAGAAACACGTGAGTGGTGTGATTCCCATTAATAATCCTCTCGAAAATGATAAGAAACTGCTAATATGCATTGGAACAAGTTTTTCAAAAATATATGTATATTATTGAGTGCATTTTAGTTGGAGATTTGGGTCGTACGACGGATGAATGTTTTGACGAAAAAAAAATGCAAACACGCGAATGAACTCGGAGGGGGTATACGCTGCTCCATAAAGAGCTTATCTCCTCCCCAACATATGGTTGACATTCCGAGCTGAACACGAGCCGGGCAACTGCAAGAGAACTTGAGAGCTCTTATCAGCGATTCTTCCATAGCTTGCAGATATTTTTTTTAATTTAGTTACTAAATGACAAGGTTTTAGCTGCAAGAAGGGGAGTTTGAGTTTTTTTTTTATAAGAAATACTACAATAATATGGAACATATACCAAATAATCTCCAAACTGTACCCCTATATCATCTTAATCTTCTTTTAACTTTATAAACTTTATTTTAATATTGTTTTTTATTATAAATTCCTTTAAAATTTGCTTCTTTTGCTAATTTTTTTCCATAAATGATTCATTTTGGTGGAATTCTGTTCAGCTTTGCATGGTTCATTGGAAAGTCAGTTTATTTTTGTGCACGTTCTTTAGAAAGTCGTTGAACTGTCTCCTCTTCCCTCTCTCCCACTCTCTCCAGCCAGCCAAGTATTTTGGATCTTAAGTTTATTTGTTTTTAGAAATTTCATCATCATGTCGAGCAATTTGTTCACATTTTTCAGAAAGAGTTAAAGACTTGAGTTCTTAATAAGCCTTCTTATAAGTAGAGTGTATGATTATAATAGTCTAAAAGGCAATTAATTTCAATAGTATTTTAAAGAAATCATCATTTTAACAATTAAGTAATTAATTAAGAATGTTTTATTTTACAGTTTAGTCACAAATTCAACACTCCTTAAGAATCAATCGATTTTTCCACATTAAAGTAAAGTTTTATTACTGATTTATGCAAAAACACTAGCATGATTGATTCAAAACAGGAATATGTGGCACACTAAAGTCAATTTAATGCGAATATATAGATATAGATATAAGCCTGATATATTTGAATCTTACATACAATCTAAGGTATTAAATAAAAATTATTAAAATTATGGATTGAATATTTTGTTTCGAGATGATGATGCAGATTTGAAGGTAATTGAGCTACAAATCGTTTAAGGTACCCCGATCCAGGGTGGCATCCAGGTTAAAAAATCTGGTTCATATAAAATTGTAGTTATAATCTTAACTATAACTAGATTATATTTATTTTTAGATCTTTTATACTTTTATGCTCTTAAAATAGGTATTCCAGAAAGGAAGAGATCTGTAGACTTGAAAATATTTTAACAAATAGGGCTTTCATTGGATATATTTTTATGATCAAGAAAGACTAGAAATACTTAACCAAAAGATAATAGAGAGATTACTCTATGAAGTCTTATAGTTAAAGATATATGGTCTTCTTCCGGCTCTCCATTCAGAGATAATCCACATATTTCGCTTCTAAAGATCTATTCTTAAGATATCTCTACCCTAAGAGCTTATTTTTAAATCCCAAGTCTAAATTATACTATATTCTCTATAAGACTCTATGAGAAAGATCTCCCTACATAAAATATATCCTAACTCACCCAAACCTCTTCTATTACCTCTTCCAGACCTGCACACCATGGAACCCAACCGACATCACGAATATCAGACACATCATCAGCCGCATCCGTCGCTGCAGAACCACCCAACACACCCACATCACGTCCCGCCCACTTCAGCGCCACCGCCGCCGCACCACCAGCAGCCGATCCACCAGCAGCATCCACACCACCCCCCTCCAGGACCACCAGGTCCGCAGCAGCAACAGCCGCCACCGCAGGCGATCCATCATCCACATCACTACCAGCAGATCCATCACCAGCATCTACCCACGAGCTCGAGCACAGTGGTGGGGAGTTCCTCGGCCGGATATGGAGCTCTGCAGCACCTGCCGGCCGGACTGGGAGAGGATCAGCGGTCCAGGACGGCCATGTACATGAGCCGGAGCAACCCAACTCAGGCAGTTCCGCCCCAGGGACCCGGCACGGGCCCGCCACCCACGGGCGGGGATCCCCATATGCAATACTACACCTCCAACCGCGATCTGACGGTGAGCAAGATGCCGGAGGCGTCGCACCCCAACTGGAGCTACAAAAGCCAAACCGTGCCAGCTCCAGCCCCGGCACCGGCGCCCGCCCTGCGACATCACGGGAATCCTGCCATTTATGCCACGGGTAGGACGGCATACTGGCCGCCGGCGGAGGAGCAACTGCATCATCACCAGCCGCCAGCCAGGTACTCCTACGGAAAGCCACCAGCTGGCGCTGGGCAGATCCCCCTGCCCGCCGCCCGGCCCGGCAGCCAGCGATATTATCCAGAGGATATTAAGTACTCGACGGTACCTGCCCCCTCCAAGGTGCTGAGCTATGCACCCACGGCCAGCTCCCAGTCCCAGGGGGTAGCGCCACCCACTGCCAGCTCGTCAGCGAACTCATCCGCCGCCGCCGCCACCACTTCCGTCCGCCAGAACCACTACGAGCTCGAGCACGTGGTAAATCCCAGTAATCCGAGCAACGAGCACCAGCAGCCGAGTCCCAACTACGGGCGGATGTGCCCGCCCCACTACGAGACACCACCGGAGCAGCGCAGTGCCGGAGCAACGCCCACGTCTGCCACGCCGACCACCACGTCGGCGCACCACCAGAGCCTCTACATGCCGATGCCGCAGTTCAGCACGGAGAAGTTCCAGACCACAGTGAACAACGCCATCGAGAAGTATGTGCGGGAGACGCCGGGCCCCAGCTTGGAGTATCCGCGGGGCGGCACGGCAGCTGCCAACTACGGACGCACTGCGCCCACCACCTACTACAGTCCGACGTCCAGTGCGAAGAGCTCCAAGCCGGCACCTGCGAGCTACGTGAAGCTGGAGCCGGAGCACGCCCTACCCGGCAGTCTGCCTCAACCGACAAGGTCCTCGCTGTACCACAATCCCTACAGCGCGGAGAGCAGCAGCAGTCGGGAGCGGGATGCTTCGCCCGCCATGGCCACCGTCCCAGCGCCGCACGGCTACCCCACCAAGTACGGCAAGCTGATCCAGCAAGTGGGAACCGGCAGTGGAGCCACTCCCTACTCCAGTTACTACCACCAAGGCACGCCGTCGCCGGCGGCGGGAGCGGTGGCGTCTCCCACCCCGGCGCCAACAGCGCCGCCAGTGACGGGAGCCCCGCCTGGCACCATTCTGGGGCCGGCGCCACTGCCACCGCAATCAGCTCCGTCCCAACAGCCCGCCTCCTCGTCCACGGCTTCCTCCAGCAGTGCCAACTACTCCACCCTGCAGGTGTATCCCCACGGGCCGGACATCTGCTACCAGCCGGGCGGCGCTCCGTCCCAGGCCCAGGGGCACCCGGCCGCCACTCCTGCCAAGAAACCCCCAGCCAAGCCCAACTACAGGGCCCTGATCAACGACATGCTGAAGCGGAACACCGCCAGCGAGCAGGAGCGGAATCTGCAGATAATCAAGAAGACCCTGAACATGGAGGCTCCGGCGCGGAATCACCTCCACCATCCCACGGCCCCCAGCCGGGTCATCCAGCAGATCACGGCCTCCGCGCCTCCAGTTCCCGCCCCAAATCCCCCGCCGGCACTCCATTCTCCGCTGGATCTGTCCATGCGGACGGTGAAGCAGACGGCGGACTCCACGGACTACAAGTACCGGAGTCCCAGTGCCGCGGACTACAAGCCCTCGCCGGGCAGTCTGAGCGGAGGCGGTGCCGGCGGACTGGGCTTGCCCAGATTCGACTTCACGCCGAACTTCTCGGCGGCCTCCAGGGGCGGGCCACCCACTAGTCCGGCGCCCACGCCTGTGATCCGCCAGGCCCCGGCCACGGCGTCTGTGTCGCCGGCTCCTCCCCACCACCACCATCCAGCTCCAGCTCCTCCAGCGCCCGCTGCCGCCCCGGCTCTGGTCATCAAAACCCTGCAGCAGATGCGCCCCAGCGTGCTGGAAACCAATCCGTATGCTAAGCGGCAGCAGCTGACGCCCGAGACGACCATCGTGCAGGTCAACAAGCCCCCCGAACTGATGCCCACCCCCTCTCCCAGCCCCCACAACAGCAGTAATCCCAACTATCTGGGCCGAAAGAGGCACCTCAAGGAGTACAACCAGGCGGCCGCCAAGCAGGCGCGCCTGGAGGCGGAGTCATCCGTGGGAGTAGTTCCTCCCATCGTGGCGGCACCCACATCAGTGGTGGTGGTGGCTCCCGTGCCCGTAATAGCCGTGAATGAGCAGGCGCTGGCCGCCAAGCGGGAGAGGGAGACGCAGCCTCTTGGTCTTCCAGAGTCCTCCACTTCCTCCTCCGCCAGCTCTATGACCATTCCGAAGATGGAGCCACGCATCCGGACGAAAGCGGAGCTCAAGGGCTTCACATTCACGCCGCCTGTGCTGGTCACGTCCACCACCAATGCCACCGGAGCCGTGTCGCCGCCAAGGACGCCGCCCAACCAGGTCACCAATCACATCCAAATCAAGCTGGAACCGGCGCCACCACCGAAGTCTGCCGACCTGGGCCTGGATGAGGCGCCCGGCTTGGGCAGTCTCCTGGACTGGGGCAGCACCTGCAACAATCTCGTGGAGCAGCTGCTCAACAAGGCCGTGGCACTGCCACCCCTGCCGACCACCACCACCAGTATTAAGCTGGAACTCAGCGAGGACGATCTGCCGGTGGCCAGGATCCTGAAGAGACAGCCCCTGGCCACGCCCACTGCCACAGTCGTGGGGGCGGACGCCGAGTCGGCCAGCACGCAGCTGACCACGACCACCAATGGGATCTCCTCGTCGCTGGGCAACGGCAGTGGCCAGAAGAAGCTGAGCAAGGTGGAGCGGGAGAAGAAGCGGCAGCAGCAGGAGCAGCGGATAGCCGCCCGCCTGGCGCCCAAGGAGGGCCAGAGCAGCTCCTCCGAGAGCGACACCACGGAGCTGCACAAGCGGAACACGGCCCGCCAGAAGAAGCCCCTCATGCGGAAGGGAAGAGCCCGCCAGAGATCCCCGGAGGCGGCCAGCAGCCAGCAGAGCAGCGACGACGAGAAGGGGAAGACCAATCAGGGCCTCAGCCGGAGTCAGAGCTCCAGCGAGGGGGGAAAGTCCAAGGCCAACTCCTCGTCTGCCAAGAAGGAGGTGAAGAAGGCCAAGGAGGCCAAGAGCAACTCCCTGGCCAAGACCAGCAACCACAAGGGCAAAGCCAAGGCCGAGGAGAACCAGAAGGACAGTTCCAACTCCTCGGAGAGCCACGACGAGGAGGAGGAGGCCGAGGAGGAAGAAGAGGACGAGGACGACCAGGAGGAGGAGGACAAGGAGGGGACCGAAGAGGACGCGGAGAAGAAGCCCGCGAAGCGAGTGGGCCGCCGGCCGGGCTCCACCCTCAAGAAGCGGATGACCCACAACCTGAACACCATGACGCGGTCGAAGCATCGCAAGGAGCTGGAACTCCAGCTGGCCAACAGCAAGGTGCTGCGGAACGACAAGATCATCCGCAACTCGACCACCAAGATCAAGAGGAAGTACGTCCGCAAGGTGGTGGACAGCAAAAAGGAGATGATGGTGACGCGGCTGCGCAACAGGCGGGGTCCCAACTCCGAGGCTGGGCAGCTGAATGGCCGGAACGCGAAGCTGAAGATGGGGAACAAGGGCGGGAATGGCAACGGCAAGGCGGCCAAGACCTCGCCGCAACAGCAACTGTACCTGGAGGAGTACCGCTACAAGCTGGCCCTCAAGATCCCCCACCGACTGATCTCGATTAACAAGCTGAACAAGGGGGCGGCCTCCCTGCCCGACCTGGAGCGCCGGGATCTCGGCCAGGAGCTGGCCTGCTTCAAGAAGACCCGCCCCAAGACCAAGGCGGCCAGCAAGCAGGATTCCATACCGAAGTCCTTCATCGACTACCTCGTCCTCCGGGTGACCAACGGTAATAGCAACTCCTCGCCCCCCGTCCACGGGAATTCAAGGAAGATCTCGGTCTCGGCGCCAGCCTCCACCAACCTCCAGGTCCACAGCGAAACCTCGCAGACCTCCGCCTCCACGTCGCTGTACGAGCAGCCGCAGCAGGAGGCGAGCACCGAGAGCCAGAACCTGGATGATCCCAGTCGCCGGCACTTCAGCATCTTCGACACCAAGGTGCTCCAGAGCAAGACGCGAACAGAGTCCAAGCTGCAGCAGCGGCGTGAGATCATCCGGGAGATATTCGTGGGTCCGGAACGGCCGGCCTCGGCTCCGCCGGAGTGCGCCCAGGAGGCGGACGGCGATGCCATCAGCTACCAGAAGTACGAGGAGTTCCTCCAGCAAATGAACAGCATTGTGAGCGGCAGCGACAACAAGCTGGCCCGCCGATCCCTCATGGAGGACAAGGTCCTAAACTCGGCGGCGCCACAGTGCCCCCATAAGCGGAAGTACCTCCGGCGGAAGGGCAGCTCGGGCTTCGACTACATCCGGAAGAAGAAGCGCCCCACCACGTCGCAGAATCAAAACCACCATCAAGGCGACAAGCCAACCCAGACCCAATCTTCCAGCCAGCTGGCCCAGGCCCACCTCTCGGCGGACGAGCGGTTGGAGGACACGGACAGCACCATTGCGGGCAGCTCCCACCTGCCGACGAAGATCAAGACCGAGATGGACGTGTACCGGGAGTTCCAGAAGTGGGTGCTGAACAAGAGTGTGGGCCAGAGCACCATGCACAAGGCCGCCCGCCAGGGATTGATCGATGTGGTGGTCTACTGCCTGGATCGCCTGAACATGAACCCGGACCAGAAGGACAACGCCGGCTACACGCCACTGCACGAGGCCTGCACCCAGGGCTGGCTGGAGATAGCGCGGATACTGCTCCAGTACGGAGCCAATCACTCGGAAGCGGCCCAGTCCGGAATCAGGCCGCTCCACGGAGCCATCGAGAACGATCACGAGGAGGTGGTGCGTCTGTTGCTCTCCTACGGGGCCGATCCTTTGCTGGCCACGTACTCAGGTGGGTGATCCTCTCCAGATACTTGATTGGGTTTGTTGTAATCTTAGAATCCTTTCCAGGACAAACTCCGCTAATGTTAGCTTCAAGCAAATTGATGCGGCGCGTCCTGCGCGCTCACCTCAGCGACGCCCAAAGTGCCGCCGCCGACATCAAGCCCATGCGCTTCCAAGGCCCCTGGGAGATATTTGGTGAGTCCCCACCCCCAGGGGAGGACCCTAAAGAGTTCCCCCACTCAACTCTCGGTTGTTTCTTTCAGATGCCAAGGAGTATGGTTATGATATATTCGATAATGTACCGAACACAGCTTGTGATATGAGCAGAGCTCTACGTAGGGAGAGGAAGGAGGCCAAGCAGCAGCAGCAGGATATTAGAACGAGTGGCATGGGCAACATCACCACCAACTCGAATGGCAACGGGGTAGTGCCCATCAAACTGAAGGTGGAGCCGGCACAGGATGCTGAGCTGGTGGATCACAACCTGGAGGACCAGAACCATGAACAGAGTCGGGAGACAACGATCAAGCAGAACGGGGAGACGAGTGCAATTAAGACTGGAATAGCAACAGGTGGAGCAACTGCACCCACGACGATGGTGAAGCTGGAGCCCGGCACCGAGGAGGATAGCAATAACAATAAGAACAACGATGAGCTGAATGCGAATGTTGGGAATAATTTAGTAACAAGCGTTGTGAATGTCAAGAATGAAGTGAAAAAGGAAGTGGATGCCGAAACGGAAGTGGATGGGGAAGCGGAAACGGAAGCTGTAACAGAAACGAATAGTAATAATAGATGTAATAGGCTAGATGACGATCAGGCGGACATCGAGACAATGGATAGTGAATTGAACGGTGATATTTTTGAATTTGAAGAGGCCGATGTGCCCTTGCCGCCACTGTACTTGCTCAAGGACGAGGGCAGTGATAAATGGGTACTACTCAACGATTTGTGCAATTTACTTAAAGTTAAATCGAAGGATACGTTGCTCAACAAGGTAGGTCTTCCATCTTTCCAATAAAACTCAGTAATTAGAACCTTCTTACCATTGCAGCTCTGTCCAAACAACAATAACGCCTTGGCCAGCAGCCAGAAGCATCTGCTCCGGGAGTTTAAAATCGATGACTTCCTGGAGAAGGCCACCTGTCTGCAGCTATTGTGCGCCGGCGAGAAACTGAACATGTTCAGCTCCTCCAAGGTTGTCCTCATCAAGTACAACGAGAGTGTGCGGAACTTGTTGGGCGTGAAGACCATTCTGATGAAGTTTTAACCAGGCAGGATAAAACCGGGGGAAACCTTAGATAAATGATGAACAGATGATACAACCTAGTACTAACTGAAATGAAATTAGCGTGTAAAGTGCAAAACAAATATGGAAAAACTATTAGTACGAATATAATTATAGATTTATATATACATATACATATTATACATTATGTATATTTTAGCTAGTAACTAGTTTTTACTCACACGTCTTTGTCTTTGGAAGATAAAGTCCTTTTTAATGGAAATTAATTTAGAGCTAATGCAAAGTGATACAAAGGTGCTATACACACTCAAAACGAAGAAAACGAAAAAAATGGTAGCGGAAACGGAAATGGAGGGAAAATTTTTAGAAAAGAACGAAAGGATGTGAGAGATTGAAACAATCTGGAATCTTTAGAGATTGGCTGCACTTATGCAATTTAGGGATATAGAGAGGCGATTGTCAGCTGAGAGGAACATGAACATGAAGATAATGTATGCCAGCCAAGCAGCTAATAAATCGATTTATACTTGTAGGTATGTCTAGGGATAATGTGTAATCTATGGTTTTTAAAAAATGAGAATGCAACACAATTTAGCAAAAGAATGAATTAAATAACGATTGTAATGATCGCAAAGGCGTATTTATGTATTATGTATTTTTAAATGAAATTATTAACATAATATATGAAATATATATTAAATATATGTATACACAATATGATCCAACTATAATGTAAATCAATTTTCAGATAGGTTTGTAATTTTCTATGTAATGTACATGTGTAAGTTTTGTGCAACTATAAAAACGACGAAAACGAAACAAAAACAACAAAAAGATGAAATCAAACAAAAACTAATGAGAAAAAAAAGAAATAAATACAAAGTGAAATTTTTTCGAAAATTACCAAAGCGCGTTTTTAATTCAAAAATCATGGAGATTTGGTACAAACGCCCTTAGTTATCGTTATTGCTGAAACGATAACTTTTTTAGTTTCCATAAGCTCTGAAAGATGGCGCTTCAAAATTGAGCAGATCAGTAGGAAAAGTAAACCCTATTCTGCAAAGGCCAATAAAGATAAGAAGTCTTCACATAAATTAAAAAATAATAAACTAATTAATACAAAATAAGTGAAAAACAAAACTAGCCCCCAAAAGCCACACTACAAAAATTTCATTAGTGATGGTACTTTTGAAATTGTTCTTTAAGCATCCGCCATATTTATCGATTCTGTTAAGCTTAGAAAAAACGATAAGATTCATTAGTTCCCGGAGTGTGCTAGTGTGTGTAGAGCTTTTAGCTAAAAGTTTAAAAAAGTTTTTCCGTATTCTTCCGTCCTTGTTCTTCAAACGCTCTTAAGGCCAAGAATATTTTCTGTCCTTGGCCCCCGCTCTCGCACGTGTATCCGTATACGAGATGTTGCGCTTGTGTGCGGTCTTCTTCTTCTTGCAACGCCAAAAACTGCGCTTGTATGGGAGAGCTTTTGAGAGCTACCTACGCCAACACAGGGTTCTGTGTTCTCTGTGTTCCCGTTTTTGTGGCCTACAGACCTAATTTTTTCGCGTGCGTTGTGCGCGGCTCCGCGGATAGTTTTCCCCAAAAATAAAAAACTAAAACTATTAGATCCAGGCATCCAGAATAAACAATGCCTAGCGAATAGACAGAATAGAGGCGAGAAAGTGAGAGTAAACACAAGCCAAAAGCAAAAGAACACTCGCCAGTTGCTGTGTGTGTACAATATTTTTTATATTTCCGATGCGTCCGTAACGGGAGTGTGTTCTTCGCCCTTCCGTTTCCTCACCTCACCCGCCCGCCCGCGTCACGGTCACCAGCACCATCACCATCTCTGTCGCTAATTTAAATGTGCAATTTTTATGAAATTATCACAAAACTACTAGGCTAGTGGAAGGGGGAGCGACAGAGATAGCAACGTTGTGTCATAGAATTGGAGCAGAAACAGCTCTAAATTAGCAGCCCCAACCCCCCCTCCCTCCCATTGACACAAATCCCTAGTAGAACCCGAACGCATACATACAAGTGCGCCAGTGTTTAGATGTGTATGTGTGTGTGTAGTAGGAATTGCAATTTATAGTTGTTGTTCTGTGGCGGAGGAGAGCTTTCGCTTGTTGCGCGCGTGCGACGACGATTGTGCAAGAAGTGTTTTTTTTCTCCCTACAATTTGCAACTCAAAATCCCCCCTCAATATACAATACATAGAAGCAAATAGAAACAACAAAACGTAATCGCAGAGAAATAGTGATCAAATAGCAAAATAAAAAAACAAACGAAATTCGCAAATGCGTTCGGCGTCGCGTGTGTGTCCATCATCGTGTGCATGTGTGTGTGCGTTGTGTGCGAGGGGGGCGATAAAAATATGCTGAAAAAGCTCTCGCCGCAGCTGCTGGAACAGGCGGAAACTGTTGCTGCAATCCGTGGGGGGGGAGGAGACAGGCAAAGGGAGAACGCCTGAGAGCGACAGAGAGAGGGCGAGAGCCTGATACGCGAGAGAGAGAAACGATCGGCGAAATGAATCACACGCAAGCTTTGTTTTGCGAATTATAAATTCGCGTTCTCCTCCTTCTCTACACATGCGAATTCCCAGCCGAAGAACCGCAGCACAAAACAAAATAGAGAGAAAAAGTGCGGAAATCCAAAAGCAACAACAACAACAACAACAACAATAAACATCAACAAGAAGACCAACAACAACAAACAGTCGCAAGCATAATAATAGAACTTTTGCTTTCTGTTCCAACTGGTTTTTTGTATACATAAAAAGGGAGAGCGCAAGACAGTGACAGACAGAGCACGAGAGAGAGAGAGAGAAAGAGAACAAAGAGGCGGCAGCTTCCAGCTCTTCTTCTTGCGATCTTCGTCTTGGAATTCATGGAAATCCGGGGGCGCATGCGCAAAACTACCAGAAACAGGCAACTTTGAAGCGAGACCGAGAGCGAGAGTCAGCTGCATGAAAAGGTAAATGGAGACTACGATCCAAGTTCTCGAAAACCCCAAGCTCCCTTTTGTGGCAGTGGTGGCTCTTCCCCTTCTAGTCTTTAATTTAGGCACTGAGAAAAATTTGTTAGAGATTTTGGGAGCTTAAATATTTTTAGGTGTTGTAACTTTTTCTTACAAAATAGATTCTAAAAAGACTTTCAAGATTTTATCTTCACAAATACTAAAATTATGACCATTAGTATGGTTCTTATAGGATATAGTCGTTTAATCTAGGATAGGTTACTATGGATAGGTTTGATCTAAGATAGAATACTATTTATAAAGAAGAGAGGTCTATATCACCAAAATTTCAACTGAATAGCTTTAAATATGAGCTACTAGTAGTCTTAAAGGAAAACTGGAGGGAGTCTAGGCTTTATAAACCCTAAATATTTCGTATAATTCTTAAAAAAAACCTCCTTAAATTTGCTTTTAGTGTAACTTCGTATATATTTCTAGAAGAGACACTTTATAAACCTCAAGGGGGTTGATGAGATGGGCCAACCAAAATGAGAAGCAGTTGGAGTCGAGTGGAGTTAATTAAAGTCTTAAAGGGGGATATTTCAAAGGGTTACAGCGTCCCCTACTCTAGAGCCTAGGGTTTCCAGTTTCTTGTGTTACGAAGTGGAAAAGTGTTTAAAAAACAAGAAAAAAAAAACAATTTAAAATTAATAAACTTTAATGAAGATGAGTTAAGGAACTGGTTTTCCAAAGAGGGTTTCAAGAAGTAATTGTTTAATAGTTTAAGCTTTAAAGCTTGTTTAAAAAATAGATAAAGGGTCGCAAATAATATAAATAATATAGTTTTATGGAGTTTTAGGAAAATAACAAATTTAAAGCCTCTAGTTATTCAATTACATGAGAAAATCTATTGGAAAAAAAGCTTTAAAGAAAGCTTTTCCCTTTTCCTGTATCTGTATCTGTATAGAGTTGACCTTGGCCTGCTAACCTGCATTCTGGGGTGACCTGACCTTCGACTTGACCTTGCTGTGACCTAGGCCTTTTATGTCCGTGTCCTAGTTTATTTTTAATGTAATTTTTTTTACTTATTTTTCAGGCCTGTAGAACGCGAAGCAATTTTTAAAAATAATAACTAATACTATCGTTACCTGCCATCAACAACAACAACAAACAAATAAAACAACAAACACATCACAACGAAACGTACAAAAATATTTAAAAAAAAAACTAAAAAATGGAAACTTTCAACGTACCTATGCTGGCCGAAAGCAGCAGCAACAACAACTATGCCACAGAAGCCAACGTCAATCATCACCACCTGCAACATCAGCAGCAGCAACAGGGGCAGCAACTTCTCATGCCCCACCATCACAAGGATCAAATGCTGGCTGCTGGTAGCTCCCCAATGCTGCCATTCTACTCGGAGCTGCAACTGCAACCACAGAAGGATGCCACAGTGCCTGGTGTGGGTGCAACACCTGCAACAGGCAACATAGTGGTAACTGCTGCCACGGCATCTGTGGCAAGTGCCACTGATAATTTTAGTTCCCTGCCGACCATCGATGCCAGCCAACTGGACGGTGGCATCTCCCTGAGCGGCCTCTGCGACCGATTCTTTGTCGGAAGCCCCAATCCCCACAGCAACAGCACTATGACCCTGATGACGACCAACAACAACAATAGCAGTAGCAGCGCCAACAAAAACAACAATAACAATAATAATAACAACAATATTGTGGAGGCTAAGGCAGTGGCAGCATCGAACGGGGGGGGCTCGGTGATAATAGAATCGGTAACGATGCCGTCATTCGCCAACATTCTATTCTCGCACTCCAGTGGTGGCGCCACCAACAACGATTGCATTGATCCGGCCCTGCTGCAGAAGAATCCCCAGGAGAGCACCATTATTGGGCCGCCAGTGGAGTACCATCAGCTGAAGCCCCTGGAGGTCAACTCCTCCACGCCCGTTTCCGTTGCCGTTTCCACCACCAACTTCTTGTCCTCCACCACCGCCCAGCTGCTGGACTTTGAGGTGCAGGTGGGCAAGGACGATAGTCGCATCAGCACCACCACCACCACCATAACATCGGTGGGCAGTGTCGGGTCCGCCCCGGCTACACCAACCACAACAGTAACTACCAACAACACTGCCAATCCTACAAGGAGCTCGTTGCACAGCATCGAGGAATTGGCTGCCAGTTCTTGTGCCCCAAAAACCACATCACCCAACAGCAACAACAATAACAATAGTGCTAGTACAACACCACAACAACAACAGCAACATCACATGCAGGGCGGAAACCAGAGTGGCTCCAATCTCAGCACCGATGACGACGAGTCCATGTCCGAGGATGAGTTCGGTCTGGAGATCGACGATCAAGGAGGTAAGTGTCCTAACTAATGATCTGATGAGTTGCAGATAATCTCCCTATTTAGTATCCCCTTTGGCTAGTGAGTTGGCAATATTCTAAAGTTGTTGGAAAGTGTTAAAAAAAGGTGTAAAAATATTTAAAACAGAAATAAATAAAATTAAAAAATATTTATGAAACAAAAAAGGATAAAGAAACAAAACCAATTCGGGAATTATTTCGGGATGAAAATGAAATTCAAAGGATGTGTCTTACAAATTAATAAAAAGAGAAGGGAAATAAAGAAAATAAAATAATCAAAAATATGAAAAATATGAATATTTCATACCTAAATAAAATTTAACTAAAATACAAATAAGAAAAGTAACAGGTTTATAATAAAAATGGTATGGAAACCCCATATTATAATAAAGGATTTGAAATGTGACTACGAAGAAGTTATAAAAAATATTGAATAATTCTGGTCTTATGAACTATAATTATAACTAACTAACAGAAAGAAGAAGATAATTATATTAAAAATTAAATGATATGTGAATATTAAATGGCAATTGTATATTTCAATCAACAAAATTATGTAAAAACTAATAAAAGGAATAAAAATAACAAAAAAAACGAGCGAAAACAATAACAAATTCAACAAAATATTCCATAACAAAATGTAACAAATAAAAAATAAAATAACAAATAAAGCAATTAAAAATAAGGAAAAAAAACCCATCAAAAATCAACAATTTCTTCTTACACTCCATAAGAAAAGTATAATTTCTTAAATCTTAAAACAATTCCAATTAAAAGTCGATCCAAAACCTTGATGTTTTCAGTAACTTGTCATTACTGGCGTGACCGCCTCCGTGTCGGGTTTTGCGTCAGTCGGTCGGTCGTCTTAAATCTTTTGTGTGCCAAGTGCAATGCTATGTTTAAATATTCACGGCGTACAGTCGTCTTTATGTTCCCCGCAGTTAGCCTCGCACTTAGTTAGCAGCTCCATGTGGTTCGGCCGGGTCTGGGTCTGGGTCTGGCATGGCCTGGCCTGGCGTCGGATGCAGCCATAAAAATCCATTTGAAATGTCTATAAAAATGCAACTAACCTACTTTCCGAGATCGTTTTTGGGGGACAACGATATTTAAATGCTCTGAATTTAAGAAATATTCGAAGGGGGTTTGAGTAAAATTTGGTTTAAAATGGTTTAAAGTCTATGGAAAGATAGTAGACTCCATTGAAAACCAACAAAAAGGGTTTTTCTATTTAAATCACGTTATGTTATGTTTAATAGTATCTGGACATGTAATCATGTTTTGGCATGTCCAATCAAGGTTCTTAAAATGCCAAATAATATTATTAATACCAATATCAATACTAGTTACATTTTTCAACATTTTAAATGATTTTTTCTATTCAAATGGGGTTGTGTCATGTTTAATAGTGTCATGACCTGTTTAATCATGTTTTTACATGTTGAATTATGTATTAAGATGCTAAATAATACTAGGAATAACACCAAAAACACTACTAGTTATATTTTTAAAGCTTAAATGTTTCTTCATGTTTTGACATGGTTCAATCATGTTCTAAAAATGTGAAATAATACCGAAACAAATACTAGTAAAAAATTTAATGATTTTTTTCATTTTAATACGGCTATGACATGTTTATTGTGTCTTGAAATGTTTCATCAGGTTTTAAACTGTTAAATTATGGTATTAAAATGTAAAATAATACTAGTAATACTACCGAAATAAATACTAGTGTTTATTCACGTTTTTACATGTTAAATTATGTTCTCAAAAGGTGAAATAATACTAGTAATAATGCCAAAATAAATACTAGTTATATTTTAAAACATTTCAAACCATATTTAAACCTTTTTAAATATTACAAATTTCAAACCTTAAAACAAATAGTCTTCAATCCAAAGAGTATCCCAAAATGCAAATTAAGAAGAAAAATTCGCTCGAGCGTTTTTCGATGCGTGAATTGCAATCAAATGAGCAAACCGCCACATCAGCCTGCCAAATGCCCATGATATACGATCAAACATTACAATCTTAAATATAAAAAAAAAACCAACTAAAAAAGTACTATATGTTTGGCGAAAAACTGCACTTGCTGAGTCATCAACAAACATTATTTTTTTCGCTATTTATTGACATTCAGCAATGTCAGAGCAGTCGACGCATGTATCTTTTCTGTTATTTGTTTGTTTGAATAATAAAAGATACTCGTAATTTAAAGATACTCGGCTGGCAGCAACCTTCAGCTTAAAGCCCACAAAGTGCAGCTTAATATTTCCATCTGCTTTTATTTCATCCTTAGAAAGAGAGGGAAAATGGAGCAAGGTCACCTGGGGCGGCATTAGAATTTGGGTCAAGCTCACACGCGAATCGTTGTTGTTGTTGCTTGCGGCCTGGCTCTGCCTCTACCGCTGCCTCTGCCGCTGCTGCTGCATTTGCTGCGCTCGCTTGCGTTTTCTAATATTGGAGATTGGGCCCAAGGATGCGAGACAAAAACAAAAAGCGAAATTGCATAGAAATTTGAAGGTCATTGTGTGCATCAGCCGCAGCGCTGTCGGCGTACTTTTCGCAGTCGCGTGTTCTCCGCGGCTCCACCCCGCTCTCTTTTGCTCTCTCCGTGGATGCAGTGGAAGAAAATAATATATTTTTGTTAGTTTTGTGTTTTATTTTTATTTGTCCCTATTTTCTGGTTTAATTTTGTAGAAGTTTCTAGTGATGTCTCGTTTTATAAAATGGCGTTTCTGTGCTCTTCAAAATGGCGCTTAAAAATATCACTCATACGCCATGTAGGCTTGGCTGGGACTTCAATTTTTACAGAAATTAGCGTATTATGACGTATTTTAGTCTTTAAAAAATCAATTACTTTACTTTACTATAGTTAAGTTTAAAAAACAGCTTTAAAATTACATGTATCTTATAAAATATCACCCATACGCCTTGTTGGTTTTTTTTTTTAAGAAATAGGGCTTGTAATTGATGTATTTTTGTCTAAAAAATTTGGTACTTACACAAAAAAAATTCGAACATATGAGTTTATTTTTTTAAATGGCTTGTATAACAAAAAAGTCAACAAAATATCACTCATACGCCATGTAGTCTCATTTTTAAGAAAAAGAGCCATAATTGGTGTATTTTGGTACACAAAATTAAATATTAAATAAAACAAATAAAATTAAGTTTAAAAAAACTCTTATTAACAAATAAAAATAATTCATTTTTAAAAATTTTTATTTTCCTGTGCAACTACTACTTACTATTTATTGTTGCTGCATTTGTTCTGCCTCAGTTGTTTTTATTTGCCGATGCCGCCGCCTCTGTCTCTGCCTCAGCTACTGCCACTGCCTCTGTCGCTGTTTATGCCACCGCCCGCAATGCCGGCTGACATTGACATAGATTGCAACGCTGCCGCGGTTGCTGCCTCTGCCTCTGCTCGGCTAGTGCCGGCGTCGTCATGCGTCAAAGGATCTAAATAGGTCAAAGTCAGCTAGCAGCAGCTTGTTGCATTTTGAAAAATGCACGCAAAAAAGAAAACTAAATAGCAGCCACAAATTGGGGCACGACATTGACGTTGCATATAGAACATATGTATGTATGTACATATGCTGGGTGTGTGTCTATCGTCGAATGCATTTCAAGGTCCTTTTAATTGATGCGAAGGTCGCGGCTCGGCGACTCTGTCCCAAGGACTTCTCCCCTACAAGGGGGCGGGAGGTGGCAAGTCCTTGGGTGTTTCAAGGTCACTTTATATGCAAATTATGTCTGCCACGTAGTCTGATTTAAGCTGTGACCTTCGAACAGCTGTTTGGTGGTAAGTGGGTGGGTGGTGCTTGACTTTGAAAAAGGATTTGGTGGAAACTGGTGGCATTGGGAAATGTTTAAGGCTTTAAAAGACCTAGTTTTGGGTTTCTGCTTTAAGCCAGAAAGAGGTCAGTGCCGGAGAGGGTTTAAATTTAATTAGAAATGTGATTTAAACTGGAGGTGGAAATAAGTTAATTATAAAGGAATTCCAAACCTATAGTTTATAAGTGTAATGTGTACCCCCTTCAATGACCATTTGGCTAGTCTTTGGAATACCATTACCTCTAATTTGTAAACAATTAACCATAACTATTATAGAAATCCCTCGCATTCTATCCTCCACACTGGTCATTCACACCCAGGTGGTGTAAATTCTAATTCTTTCTCACGACTTTGGATTGGAAAACCGCAAACTGGAAATTGAACCCCAAAAGGCTTAGTCAAGCGATCCGAAAACAGAAATCTTGTAAATGCTATCAAGGATAGAGCATTGAAAGCCCCATTGCTAGTGAATTGGAATTAAATATCAACTTGAGTTTGCCCTTTAATTAAATAAACAAAACAAATATATGTATATCCACACAGCGAATCATTCAATTGTAACAGCTTTGCAACAATAATGATAATGAAAGCAATTAGATCATTGTTTTGTTTGCAAATGTTTAGGTTTATTGCTTGGTAATTGGTCTATTAGTCGGGCCTTAAGGGAATAAGGCTTTTTTCTTGACTTTGTTGAGGCTTTTTTGAAGAATCGTTGAACCTTTCAGGGTTTTCATTGAAGGGGGTTATTGATATTGTGATACATTGTCTATATATTTATAGACCATATCAAGGCAGGTTCTTAATAGTACCAGTACTAGTAATAAATAGTATGTTGTATTATTCTTAATCTTGTAGAATCAGGCTTTATAGAGTGAGTTATTGTTTTTAAGATTACCAATCTTTACGATATAATGATTTAAAGACAATATTAAGGCAGGTTTTAAAGATCATAGACCATGGGTTCGTAGAAGTACTAATCTTGTAATAGAAGGTATATAATAGTCCTGAGTAACTGGAATAATCCTTCGCCGAAATCAATACTAATATGAATAATATTATAATTGATAGATCATATCAAAGCTCTTATGGGTTCATAGGATTACTATATACATACATTTGTGTATCTATATACTATCTATATCTTTCTATCTAATAAATAA